TTTTTTTTATTTTGAAATTTTAGAATTTAATACTCAAGAATAATATTACAGGTAACATAAGAGTTTATTGGTGATAAGATAATTTTTCCAAGATTATAAATTTCTCATTTTAGATTTTCCAAACTCATATACGTAAACAATCACAAATTTTTCATAAGAAAAAAAATGGAATAGTAATATTTCGTGTTCACTTACTGATATTTACAGTAACTGAACAATATGTGAAAGGATCTCCTGTGTATCCTGGACGGCATGTACAAGAAGGTAAATGGTTAACAGTAATGCAACCAGCGTTTTGACCGCAAGCACCAGGACAGGGATCACGGCATTTTTTCTGTACACAGCTTAAGTTAGATGAGCAGTCAGAGTTGAAGAGACATTCTGGCCTACAGCTATCATAAGGGTTTCCAAAATAGTCTGGTATGCATGTACAGGATCCAACATTGTTATGTTCTTTACATTCAGCATTAGCACCGCAAGGTGAGGGAGTACATGGTCTAATTACTTCTTGGATTGGGAGCTCAGCTAAAATTTTAATATCACACAAGTTAAACGGATATTGCATAGCAAATCAGTAAGAACAGTAAGCTGATCGCAGACTGTTTATTTAATGTAGCTGATATGAATGTTTACTAATTATGGTAAAACATTATTAAAATTTATGTAATTGTAATATTAGTTTTAAATAATAAATAGTTGAATGACAACGTGTCTGGAAAGAATTACAGCTCAGATAACGTAAGATACCATTGTAAAAATGGAAATTCACTGTAGGAATCGTCACATACATAAATTGCTAAGTGACTAACAACACTACATATTGCATTTGATCCATAAGGGTCTTTATGTGGATTTTTGTATTATCTATTAATGCATACCTCTTGTGTGAAACATTAGAATTTATTAACCTATTCAGATCTGCAATTTGTTAAGATAATCTGACTCACAAGAGCATGAGAGCAGGTCGCTAACAATTTGGTAAATCGCATATAAACCATAGCGAGAGAACTACAACAATGCTTATAACTCGAATTTAATTGGCACTCTGATTGAGAAATCCCAGTTTAAAAAAGCTATTAATAGTATATTATGTCCAGCGTCTGTCAAAGAAAAGAAATTTTATAATTCTGTCACATATTTTGGAAAACTCTCAGAAACTATTGCAAAAAGATTGAAGATACATACCATATAAATAGAATTTATGATGACAATAAAATTACAATTATTAATTAAAAATGGTAAAAGCAAAATCAAAAAAGGTAAAAAATCTGGTTGATATCGTTTGAAATGCGACTTATGCGAGAAAGAGTATTTTAGAAAAACAGGTAGAAATTTTGATGTACGTATTCACGAGCATTATAAAACTTTGATGAAAAAAAATTTTCTAATGAGTAACAAATGTATATAGTGCTAATTACATGTATTATACATGCTTTTATTGACGTAGTGTTTATGCACTCATGATCATTTGTATTATATGGATGACGTGTAAAGCCGGATACGTTCAGTTTGTGATCTTTTACGTCTGATGAAGATATAGTGTACTGAAACAGCTGTTACGGGTTTATGTTTTACATAAATAAAAATGTAAAGATTTTTTGAATAATAAATGTTGAGTTGTTGTGTTTAGTATTTCCTTTGCCATCATTTTATAACGAGAAGATTGACATAGATTTATGAGTGGCAAATTTTTCTGATGGATCTGTGCATACAAATTTCTGATCAGTATTATTATTTTTTGAAAAGAAAAATTTCAGGGATGGATGATACGTACCAAGGGACGAAAACACGGCATTCTTTCTTGGGAGATGATGCCGCGCTTTCTTACTGAGGCTTGTATATCATTTTTTCTTTTTCTCCACCAAAAATATGACATTTTACTGTAATTACAGGGAGAAAAATGCAACATTACTTCTCAAGTAAAAATTGCATTTACTACTTATTAGGAAAAGTTTTTTGGCATCCTCTGCGAAGAAATTGTCTCCCGAGCAAGCGAGTCAAGTTATTTTTTTACGATTTATTGTGCATTGTATACACGGTTTTTCTACTCATTTTTTGTGCAAAAACATATGGGTTTATGATTTACCATTTCATAAAGCACATTAATTCTGCATAATGTAGGATACGGATCAACGGGCTCATATATTTTTGATTACGCATACTATCGGTTTTGGGTACCAGAATTTAATGTTTATTATAGCTTGTACAATGGTGAACTGCCAGGGAAACTAGGTAAACATGCAAGTGTAGATGCCATTACTTTTTATGTCTCTATAAATATTTTTTTAACTTCATAAAGAAAAAAAATCATGGTTTCTAGTTGATAGTAGTTGTTGCAGAGTAATATTTGTAATGCAATCGCTTACTAATTTTAATTGAAGTTTCAATCTCGAAAGCTACTCTTAGACGAACCTGGAAGGCTGTGTTACGACCGGTCAAATAAAGGCCGGGCGGGGGCACCTGTTTCTTTTTATCAAACTTGCTTGTAGCTAAAAAAAGAGGGAAGTTACGGAACGAGAGGAAAAAACGGTTCTCTCGTAGGCAGTTGGCCAGGAGTTAGATTTCAAGATAAAAGTTAATCTTGTTATCAAGAGAAACCGTGATTTTCTTATTAATTTTTCTAGTTGATGTAGCTGAGTGGACAAGCGCTACCTACTAATAGTAGTTGTTAAAAAACTAAATCTTGTAAGAATATAAACAAAGCATGTACTGAGTTGTGAAGCCATTGATAAACTGCCTAGAATTTTTTGACAAGAAACAAAAGCTTTGCAAGTAGTACCAACTGAGCAGTTACATGCTACAATATACTGTAAAACTGTAATATGTAAAATTCAGTAATACGTGAGCATTTTGGTCACACGCTCCAGGGCAAGGACTTTAAAATTTCATTTAAGTGCAGACCATATGAGTATGATACGCTGTAAGAATACAGTTTATATCGAGGGTAGTACTTTTTAGAGAACTTCCTAAAATAATTTAGTAGGCATTTGCAAAAACCTTAATACTTCTGCTCCTTAAAAATGGCATTTAATTCACACAGGGACGGCATACAGGATGGAACTTGAATTTATAAGCCTGAGTTATCCAGGTACCGAGATACAAGAGTCACAGCCTTAACTACTATGTTATCATGAATACTAACAATTTGTTATCAACTAGTCAACTAGTATTCTAGTTAATAATCTGATCATTCATACGTTCTCATTTCTTTCTATCCGACTGACAGTAAGTTGTTACTCTCAAAACGAAGAATTATAAGTTGGCGTTATTAAACAAGAGCGTGCAAATCCATTTTAAAAACTTTCATCTTCAAAATTAACCATGTAAATATTGAACAGAAAACATCTTTGATAAGGAGTTTGACATCAAAATAGATCTTAATTTTTGTAAATCATAAAATGATACTTACAGACTTGGAGTAAGCGAAATATCTTTAAAAAACTAAAATCTTCCACCTTACCTAGGAACTTAAAAAATTCAACTTTTGTATTTTTATCATCCTCCCAATTTTATATTATATAAAAAATCATTGAGTAAATTGTTACTAACAATTTTATCGTTAATTTCTATTGCACTCTAAAGTACAACTTTGAGAATGTGCTGAAATATTTTAATTAAAATTTTCTTCATCTTGTACAGCAAAAAACAATTTTAGTCTTTATACATAATTTAGTTAAATTTTTCGTTATAAATGATTTTAACGATTTAAAAAAAAATTACTCTTTTGCTAGTAAAAAAGTCATTAGAAAAGAGCTTCTAACAAAAAAAGTATTTTTTGCTTATATTTAAAGTTAAAAAAATATTCAAGGTAAAAAATCCGTGGGCCGAGTTAATCAGCCGAGTGAAGTGCGCCATTTATCGTATTATGACAGTCTTATAGGTTATGCCTGTATGTTTTTGTAATGGGAAAAGTATTAATCAATAAATTTATTTTTATTTCGTGCTGACATACCATAGTTTAAATTAATTATAATAAAGTACAAATTTCGGTGGTTTGTACAGAATTTTTTATAAAACAGTTTGATTTGTTACATATAGCTTTAAAGCTGTTATTGCTGTACCTTATTACAGCCCATGTCAATAGATATATTTTAAACTCAAATATCTTTAAAACTAGTACCGATACAATACCTTTCAAAAATTTTTTTTCAACATAAAAAAATTAAATGTATAACGTATTTTAAATACAAGAAAAGTTTGATTTGTTAGTAGTGATGGATTTTCTACCTTAAGTTAAACTATATTTTTATTTTATTATTTTATTTCGTTTAGTGCCCCCTGCAAAAGTTGTAGCTGTTTAAGGGGGAGTGATAATAATCACTAAAAACGAGATTTTGTAGATTTTTGCCAAAAATTCATAATTTAAGAAAAAATTCCTAAAACTTTTGATTGATGCCACCAAATTCAACAAATTCTTTTGTATTCGATAAAGCTTCGTTGCAGCAGTTATTTAAGTCTATTTGAGACCACCTACAAAAGTGCATTCCTTCGCCACTAGTGTTGAAAGTGGAATCGATATTCATCGATATATCTTACGAAAAAGGGCTGATTAGACCAAACGCCGAGACACGTGTTTCATATTTTTCCCATCATTAATGGAGAAAAAGTTTCGTAAATTTCCGATCCATAAAAGCTAGAAAAAGAGATACTTTTACCATTAAGAGGTACGGAAGTGACATTTCGAGCTTTGGAGTACTATTGCGGTTCGTAGACTTGATATCATCGAATTTCCGCTTACAAAACAGCTTTTGTCAATAAATAATACAACAAAAATATCTGCACACAAAAAAAAATAATAGTAGAAGAGTAGTAGAAGCACAATTCAACAGAATAGTAGACAGAATTTTATGTTTTCCTGGTTCTTACCTACCTCATGCAAAGAAGCATGCAAAAATAAACGAAAAATCATGAAAGAGCGAGAAATACCATGCCTTACAGACACCACAAGAAAAGTAATGTCGACCACTGCAAAATGAAGGGTTGATATAGTCGGTACTTACCCGTTGTAATAAGTTGACAGAAAGAGAATGGATCTCCCTCATAGTTATCATTGCAAGAACAGACGGCATTATGATTAACAACGCTACATTGAGCATTGATACCACACACTCCGTCACAGGGATTGAGGCAGCGTTGTTGCATACAAGCAAGATGAGGTTGGCATTCCGGATTTATGGTACATTCAGGTCTACAATTAGGTGGCACGCCGATGTAATTTGATGAGCACGAACAAGCAAAGGATTCGTCACGCACTTGACATTCAGCGTTGGGACCACAAGGAGATGGTAAGCATGGATTTTCTGGTTTTCCTGGTTCGACTGAAATTATTTAAATACATTTAAAAGCCAGACAAAAAACTAATTAAAAGTGGAAATGACAATATTTCAAACGATAGCAGAATGAACTTTATTTAAATTAAAGATACGATTATTTTGGAGTTCTTAACAGTGGTTACAAACTTAGAGAGCATGAATCAAAAGGTCTTAGACTGCACGTACATCATCTTCCAAGTTATTGTTAACGGGCGTTAAACATACAATTGAGAGCTTTTTTAATGGCTTATATGGTATGTATACTGGTTTTTGCCTACCTTGACTAATGTACAAGATTACTATATGCATGCATGTGTGTTGCTAATGAATCATTCAGTAAAAACGTAATTTAAAAAATTGAAAACTTCAAATAGATACCATGATGTCTTAACTATCAGTTATTATTAATCTGGTTTTAAGATACATGGATAGGACAAAACAATTTTTAAATATGAACCGTCTGAAGATAGTGTGAAATTAAAACTACTAAAAAAACATTTACTAAGAATAAAAAATACATATAGCTGAAACAAAATAAGACTTACTTGGAGTAAGATAACAGTTTGTAAAAGGGTCACCAGTAAATCTTTCGTCACAACTACAAATTGGATTATGATTTATAACTTGGCATTTGGCATTCCGACCACAAGAACCAGGACAAGGATCTTGACACTTATTATTTAAACAAGCTTGTTCTAAAGGACATTCAGCACTGACCACGCACTCGGGTCTACATGTAGGTGGACTTCCTGTAAATGAAGCCTGACAAGAACAAACCGCATGATTTTCTACAACTTTACAAAAACTATTTGGTCCACATGGTGAAGGCGAGCATGGTTGAGTAACTGGTACTGCAATGAGTTTTTTTTCCATTAAAAGAAAATTTAATTTCTAGATATGGCATCATTATAAGTATAATGAAGAGTTTCATTTATATCTTAATATTAACTGAAATGTAAAATGTGAGAAAACATTTCTACCTTTGATAATTAGTTTACATTGTGAAAAAGGATTGCCCGTCATATCAGGAGAACAGCTGCACATTGGAATATGATTGACAACATTGCATCTTGCATTGTTACCACAAGTCCCTATGCAAGGATCGCGGCAACGCTGGTTCATACAAGCTTTGTTCCTCGAACAATCTGAATTCATTGTACATTCTGGTCGACAAAATATGTACGGATTTCCAAGATAATTTGGTAAACATTTGCAGATGCCATTCTCACATTCAGCATTTGTACCGCATTGACATGAGTCATCAGACTTTGGTGGAAGTTGTATAACTAAAATAACAAGTACTGTATAAACATTGTAAATTGAAGCCATTCGATCACTTAGGAAAACAATAACACATGATCAGTGCAATACATTCTTTTTATGGGGTGCTAATTCCAAATTTAAAACTCATACTGATCCACCAAATCATAATCTTGCTCGTGTATTTGTATATGAGCTCATCACAGTGGAGATAAATAATAATGTCAAAGCATTACCATATACGAACATGTTTTGTTGATTAAAAAAAAAAATTTACACAAGGTATCAATGTGAGCCTTATACTTGTCTTCAGTAAACCAAAAAATTTTTTTTTATATTAGGCTATTCTTGAAATATTTTTTTGCGATCCTGTGTTATGATATTTTTTGAAATTCGTACCATCGGTTGGAGAACAAAGAGTGAATGGATCTCCTGTGTAGTCTGGTTGACAACCACATGTTGGGATGTGATTTTGCACGTGGCAGTCTGCATTTTGCCCACAAGAACCAATACATGGGTCTCTACATTTTTCTGAAATACATGCTTGGTTGGAAGGACAGTCTGTGTTAACAACACATTCTGGACGACAATTTGGTGGTGATCCTATGTAATTAGCCTTGCAAAAGCATGCAGCTTGAGTACTAATTTTTCTACATTCAGAATAAAGTCCACAAGGATTTGGAATACACGGGTCGCTAGCTGGTGCTGGTAGTACTGGTGTAGCTGAAACAAAAAAAAATGTTACAATTTCTTGACTAATTTTACATCCGGAGTTTATACAGTTAAATCATATTATAAGTAAAAACGAAATTAATCCGTAAAATTCATACAAGGCGTGATGTGTATATACATAAGCTTATATGAGAAATTGATGCATGTATGCATTAAAATTGTACGTTACATGTACGAATGCATAAATTGTATTGTATGTATGAATAAATAGTTTACTTGCGAATTGATTGTCCATTTCCAATAACGTATACCAACTTAAAAGTTTTAATTAGCACATTATTTCATTATATGCAGAATTTATAGTAAAATTTTCAAAAGGATTACTTGCGAAATGTGTAAACATATTTGTCACACATCTACTTGTATGTGGTGTTTCTATTATTGCTGATGCGAGCTTGCATCATCAGTGATCCAAAAATTTCAATCGCACTTGCCAGTAAAATGTGATTAGTGCTGTTGTGTTGTTATTTACTAATATATGAAATCATAATATATAACATCATCGTGCAAGCCCACTGTTTTGCTGTCAACGCAGTATGCAAGAATATCGCTCATTGGTCGACCTAATTCAACCAAAGGTCTCTTTCACTTGCTCTGATACTATAAAAATGCACCATCAAGAGAAACAATCGCTTTTTTTACGTCTGTCACCTGTCCTCTAAAATTTTAATCAACTCTTGACTCTCACGTCCCGTGAATACATTATACACGTGAGGCATAACGTGTTAGCTGAGGTAACTTGGGTATATTTCAAGGACATCAATAGTGTCGGACTACGCGAAGGAGTGAGGTACAGCGAAGGAGGCTCGTCAGAAGTGATTCCGGTGATAACAGAAAAAGCAGAAACCGCAACATCTACCCAGCCACGAACTCATTCGTGTACTTTAAGGGTCCACTGAAAATTACTGCACCAATCATTAGAGAAGTCTGAAGCAGTAGTAACAATAATCAGTGATAGATTTAAGTTATTTATCAGTAATATAATTAATACCAAACCTTGTTAAAGTGAGCCGAGTAAATTGTGTTTAAAAGAATAACTTTTAAATTGTTTTGAATAAAAGAATACATTAATTAAAATTATCCATATCATTAGGCACGACTGATACTCAGGAGTGCCTTATACTTTTACCAGAGCAAATAGTGTAAGTACCTTTAAAACTAATTGTTTTTGCGTAAAAAAAGTTTTGGTACAAAAAAAAATTGCGATCGCGGACCTCAGCGTCAGGCGTGTTATATGTATGTATGGGCGTAATCAAGTTTTTTGATTAACTTATGCAGTTTTTGTTGGATTGGGCTGAAATTTGACAAATAGCTTCGTCTTTTATATCTCAAGTGATGGTTTAAAATCCATAAGGTTTTCTCTTTTAGAAAAAAATGGCAGTTGTTTTAAGATGGTACTTTCAGTGAAAAAAAAAGTTTTTTGGCTATAACTTTATAACGTGAAATTTTCAAGGTTTGCTGTGAGAGACAAAGTTGTAGATATACTTGAAATACAACTTTTTCGTATTTAAAATTTTCGTCTATGATGTAACCCAAACGTTCTGCGAGCCAAAAAGTGCTCAAAAATCGCAAAAACATAGTTTTTTTCTATCTAACTTGTTTGTCTTGTACTTTAAATTATGATATTAAACGTAAAAATTGTAAATCTTATTGAAATACAACTTTTTTGTGTAAAAAATTTTTACCTAGGATGTAACGCACACGTTCTATGAGTCGAAAAGTGCTTCCAAAATGAATGAAAAATTGTATTCCCCTATCCAACTTTTTCGTTTTGCACTTGAGATAATAAATTAAACATGATAATTCAAAGTCTTGTCTAAATATTTCATTTTTGTATTTAACATATTTAGTTGTAATATTAAATTTGGGCTCTAAATCGCAAAAATGCTGAAAAATTGTAAATTTATCGTTTTCCCCTATCTAACTTTCTCGTTTTTTTTATTTACATTTTAGATTACAAAGTTAACGTAAAATTAATAGATCTTGAAAAAATATAACTTTTTTTTAACTAAAATGTATGCCTGTAATATAAAATTAACGCCATAAATCGCAAAAAATGATATAATACTAGTTTGTTCAAAACACATACGATTGACACTCAATGCAAAGTTAAGGGCGATTATCATTGTGTTCTGTATTGTCTCTTGTATCCAGTCGTGCCTTAAAAACTGGGTTTTTGCATAAATTTAGCCACTTGTTCAAATAAAGTTTTTTACCCAACTAAGAAGAACAAATAAAGCTCACGAGCTGAACCCTAACAGACCCACAAATGACACTAAAATAAAACGGTTAAGACCATACTCTGAACAAGTTCGGTCATAACACTAACATTAACGACATCCACATTTCTTTGAGCAAGACCAACGATACTTCATAAATTTTTGACGACAACTATTAACACTCTACTGAAAAAACTTCGATGAAAAATATCAGTCTTATTTTATTGCATGGACCATGCAATTTCGTGACAGAACAATTTCTCAACTGTAACAAATATATAAATACTCTTGTCAGTGCTGCATTTATATTTACATTTTCTAAGTCTGTTTCTAATGTTATTTTTATGCACTACGAGTCTGTTTTATACCTAAATCTCCAAACTAATAGTGCTTAGTAACTAAGTAATGTAGAAAAATATAGATACAAATCTTGGCAGAACAAAAATTAATTAAAATGTATGTATGAATTTTAAAAGTCTATTTTTTAATCAGTATTGGTTTTTATAAAACTTGTTAATATAAAATTATATAGTAACAATAATAATAATACACATATTTACACTACTTGATTTTATTTATTTAATTATAACTTTTTTTTTAACCTGAATTTAAATCACACTTCATACACAGGTGTAATTTCATAACATTGGAGATACATTTTTATTAGAAAATTTTTTTTCAGTCTTTATTTGTATAGAAAAAAAGTATCGTGATTGATAGCAGCAAAAGAGTTATTAACGATGTACGTAGTACGTTTGTTTGTAGAGACAAAAAAGTTACTGTGCTTAGAATACCTTAATTGGGATGTTTCAGTTGTATTAAATATTATCTTACTATTATTTACAGAGAAACAGTTTGAAAATTAGGTGTATGTACGGCAATAAGAAACTTGTGTTTGTGTAATGTTGATCAGAGATGACGAGTGTACTAAGTATGTGTTATGCAAAAGTTTATTTCTTTAGCATTCAAAAAAATTAGAAGATATAACAGCAATCAATTCAAAATTAAATATTGAAATCAACAAGTTAAAAATAGAACTTAATGCAATGATTAGGCAAGGCATAGTTGCAACCATGGAACCATTTAACGATAAAGAAAACAGCTGAGAGCTATGGATTGATCAACTGGAGCTGTATTTTGGAGCTGATTCGATAAACGAAACTAAGAAGGTGACCCAAATAACTCTATTCTTGATATTTCTTGATAAATAAAGTTACACTTTGTTAATAAATATATGCGTGCCAGACAAGCGGGCTTCGAAGAAGTTTAAGGCCTTGGTGGATTTGATGCAAAAAGATTTACAGCTAGCACCTAGTGAAATGATCGAGCGCTTCAAGTTTAAGAAAAATATCGCAAAAAGAAGGAGAAGGGATGAGTGAATTTTGCTCGAGGCAATTAGCAGAGCATTGTAATTTTGCAGTAGAGCTCAACAGTCACCTGTGTGATCAATTTGTATGGGGAATGCGTTGTGATTATACTGAGAAAATTCTCTTACGTGAGGGAAATTTGACTTTCCATTTATCAGTGAAAAAGGCTTTGGCCATGGAAGCAGCGACTCGTCACGTAACCAACATGCTACGAGTGGAAAATTCTGTAAACTTTGTAAAGTTAACTAAGCCGCAGAAGAAAGCAAACAAAGGCCAACTAAATTCAAAACAACAAACGTTCCAAGGGAAGTCAAGTTCCAGTAAGGTAAACTAGAAAGAATCAGGCATCAAGTGTTTTTGTTGCGGATATACAATTTAACGGAATTTTCCGTTTGTATTTTATTGAAACCTTTTACAAAATCTACACAGTTAAAATCATTGTCCACACGTAGAATTACTCCTACATATTATTTGACATCACGTGATTGTAACAAAGCGAAGCGTTGAGCACTCGCCAATCGGCAGGGCAAAGTAGTATCGACGGATGATAGATATAAAGTGGTTGAGTTTGTCCCCCCCCCCCCCTAAGTATCTCTGTCATGGCTGTGTCATAAGTCCAAAAATATCAAAAGATTGGAAATCGATAATTTTTACTTTGTAATAAAATTCGTTGTATTTACAATCTTAATAAATCTATATCTATTGAAACTTAGATCAGAAAGTATTTTAATTATTTAAAAGACTTATGGTACAAACATATGTAGAACGTCGTAGAATCGAATTTTGGTTTCGAACATTAATGTGCGATTCTCTGTTCATCCTTATCCCTCTCATTTCAGTAATAAAAGGATGAGAGACCATCGCACGAAGAAGGATTCAATTATCTCGACAACGAAGTATGTAAGGTTACATATGCTGCGATAAAGCATATTTAGTCAGTACACAAACAGAGAAGGAGATTTCTTACCCAACTGGTGGGTGTCGCTTGCAAACACTAATATCGTGAGCACTAAGATACCATAATTTCTTCCTTATTTCTACCTCATCTTGGTGAACCATAGAGAGAAGTGAGATTATATATATCGTATTAAAAATGGATCTTACACCAATGTTTCAAATTAATTACTTTTCACAATAAAAACATCGAATGACAAGTCACCGAAAGCGTCTTTATATCTACGGATTTGGAAGGCAAACCAATATATTATTATCTTAGGCTATCATCATTCCAAGTATAGCGATGTATTTATATATGCATACATATAATAGAAACAGATATATTTCAGACTACTACACTGTTAAAAATCTTATAACAGACTATATAATGTCAAATTGTAGAGGCCATAAGTATGTATGTCATATATGTTACCAAATAGAGCACTTGCCTCGCATGTGTAAAGTCGATGGCAACAACGTTAAATGTTGGAAGAGCCGCTCGAGTGTCAGGGGAAAAAACTATGATGCACCGGATAATGCGTCAAGTGAAAGTGAGGATTACGTAAGTGATAATTTGCATTCAATTTCGAACTATATTAATGCTAATACAAAATCCCTTACGATAACTTTGAATATTAAAAGTGTTATGGATAAATTCGAAATTGATACAGCTTTGTTAATTTCAGTGGTACCTGAAGATTTTTATTCCAAAA